ACCAGTCAATTACAGAGGTAGAGCACGGAAGTAAGAGAGACGGCTCCGTACTCAGAGTCCTTGCTGCTCTCGCAGAGGACCCAGGTCAGTTCCCAGCACCCATGCTATTGGGCAATTCACTCCAGCTCCAAAGGATCTGATGCCACCTTCTGGTCTCCTGGAGCACCCGAACGTGTATGCCATTTACCTACACTGAACACTAAATTTGATTTATGAAGTAATAAACAGAATTATAATCAGCCCTACTTCATTTTTTTTAAACAGGGTCTCACTGTATAGTCCTAGATGGTTTACAACTTACTATGCAGACCAGGCTGGCCTGGAACTCACAGAGATCTATCTGCCTCTACCTCCCAAGTACTGAGATACAGGTGTGCACAACCATACCTGTCTCCTATTTAATTTCTTTACCATTTATTCCTTAAACTGTAAGTTATAATTCTAGGCCCATCTGTTCATCTGCAAACATACATCACTGTTTATAAAAGTAGAGGGATATAACTGTTTTGGCAAAAATTTGCTATCATTGGAAGCTTCTTCTATCAATAGCATATGTACACCACTTTATGAAACAATGAGTGGACTCTATACCCTATATATAAACTCAGTCTCACTGTGTTCAAACTGCAGTTTTAAATATTGCATAAATTGGGGGCTGGAGAGATGGCTCGGCAGTTAAGAGCATTGTCGGCTCTTCCAAAGGTCCTGAGTTCAATTCCCAGCAACCACATGGTGGCTCACAACCATCTGTAATAAGGTCTGGTGTCCTCTTCTGGCCTGCAGGCATACACGTAGACAGAATATTGCATACATAATAAAAATTTTTTTAAATTACATAAATTGTTGAGACATAATTTTCAAGTTTTAAGTTAAAAACCAAGACAGTACAACAAAAATAATTTTGAGTGTAAAAAAATGTTTGTATACACAGTATACTAATTTAACAAATGTGTCTGTACATGTGACAGCATTGTATACTGTCTGAAACAAACAATAAGTTAAAAATTAAAAAGTATAGGTGGTTGATACTTTTATTAATGGAAGATGCTAACTATAGACTGAATATATTGAGTTCAAAAGAAAGGAGAGAAGAGGAAGAAAGCAGGCGACTAAAGGCACATTGGCATATTTTCCCAGGAAGTGGGGCTTGAGCTCAAACTTTAAACAGGCTATAGGTGAGCTAAGAGGGAAGAAGACAATATAAACCTAGCTAAATGTAAATACAATGAAATCCTTGAGATATATATTATGGGTTTAGAGGAACTAAAGAAGTGAGCTATATAATTGCTAAACTCTATAAAAGTTCCATAGGGGAATCAAAGGGGCGTAAGCAGCAGATGAAGACAGTACAAATATAGGCAAGAACAAGTGTACACAGAACAATGACTATGGGAATAGCACAAATTATTTTCATTCTTGTAAATAAATTAGTTGATGAGGTAGTTTCCCGTTTTGGCTTTACAGAGTTAAGAATACATGTTAGACTTCTGGAGGAAAATAAACTCTCTTCAACAACACACCTAGACAACCAGTTAGCTGTTCTGAAACCCCAAAGTTTCTTTTACAAACCAGGAAATCTATCATGAGTGACAGAAGTCAGTCTATAGCCAGGGAAGCTAATCTGCCTACATACAGTCTAGAGAAGACCACCCACCTTATTTAGTGTGTACCTGAGTTCAGTCCCAGGACACACACACAAAGGCATTCCACTGTTGCCCACCTACTTTATCCTTCCTCTGAGAACCATGGCAACAAGAATGGGAGACTTCATTCAACTTGAATTTTCACAGTCAGAAAATTTCTAATCTCCCTTTTTAGTTCTGACCTCTTTCCGCATTTAAATACTTAACTCAACCCAGGCTTGCTTAGACCCAAACTCATCATAAACGTCTTCTGATCATGTGTTCGCCTCAGCACCTCAAGCTCCTCACTGAGAGTCGGTTGCTGATCCTGAAAAACTGTGAATCAGCCCCCAAACCCTGTAAAAGTCCCTTCATGAAGTCTCTTACTTATCCTGTGTTTCCTCAATCATTCATCTCCAGATTTGTTAAAAATCATCTACATCAAATCTCTGCAGTCCATGCTGCTCCAGCCTCCAAAAACAACACACTTGTATTCATCAGGGGCTTTCCAGCCAGCAGAGTGATATTCAATCTCTCTAGACTAACATTCTAAGGCTTCCAGGCCTACCTCTTACTACTGGAGTGAACACCATTTTTTCTATGTAGCCCTCTCTCTGTCCCATACTTCAGTGTTTTTTCTTATGTTTCCCCAAATGTTGACAATAACAGAGATAACACTAGAATTCAAGAGTCCTTAAGCACTTATTAACCTAACAACTGTGACACTCAATATATTTCTATGTGATATAAATGCATTATCTAGGGATTTTATGCATTAATGTAATATTAATTTACATATTAATATTATGATGTGTTAATATGATTAACATAATTTAACTCTCTTAATTATCTGTGTAAACAGTCTATTCCTCCAATTAGACCACATCTCTGGAGACTGTGTTCCTCAGAGATGGGGACTCTACGAGAATTGTTCCTGATGCTGAGCCACAGAGTTCCAGCAACTTCAATTAGGAAGCTAGTTTGTTAGATTACTTCTGATTTGCCTAAAAGATAAATTAACATTTGATATGTAAAGCAATGCTATTGATTAATCAATAAATATAAGCAAGAAGCTAATTAAGAACCTAGTGCACTCTTTCTAATGGGAGTCTGATGAGATGGAACCAGAATCATGGAACTGCCAGCAGTTCATGTTAGCTCAGATGAAAATCTCCTCTCATAATTAAACAGATTCATTGATTTGTAGTTCAAACGTTAAATTGACTTCAACTCAGCCTCGCTTCAACTTTATAAACGAGTCCCTAAGTATACCTTCATGAATAATAACATGGCCATCTGACATTTGATAGTCTTAGTCTACATGAAAAACAAAGCATGGTTTTATTTCCTAGCAAAGACCATGCATTTTAAAAACAAGTTTTAAAAGAAGCTGCTAAAGACAATTACTTTCTAATTAGTGTCATTCTTAAGTTCTTCCCTCAGTAACCTTCAAAAGCTGCAGAAATAGCTGGTAATCTGGAGGTTGTCTCAAGAAAATCAAGAGCTCAAGGCCAGCCCGAGCTCATTGAGTCCCTGTCTAAAAATTAAACAAACAAGCAATAGCAAATGTTTAGGTATTTGTGTATGCTGAAGTGGGGAGCCACCTCTCGCTCTCTAACCCTCTATACAGGAGTAATAAACTAAGCCAATATAAATTCGCCAGACTAACGTAGGAAGTTCTTGTTTTGATACCCCTCCTGGTTTCCTTCCCGTCAATAACCTCACTCCATCTCCTCAAAGGTCCTTCCCATCTCCCCGATGACCAAAAGCCCAGAAATTAAAACAGTAAACAATTCCTCCTCAAGGTGCCTTCCTGGATTTGGATTCTGGTCTAACCAAATGCAAACTCCTGTTTGGGCCTTTTAACCACAAGCATTCTTACTTGGATTAAAACTTGAGTCTCCCTGGTGTCTAGACATGCCTAGACATGACCCGCAGATGCAGTGAGGTCAGCGGAGTTTCTCTAGTAACTGCAGGCCAAATCAACAGCAACCCTAAGAACACGCATTCTTTTCTGTTGCTGTTGCTTTTCTAACAGAACTAGAGCGCACACATTTTTATTGTCTTTTTTTTTTCATCTTTGAAGAAAAAATTTTACAGTGTAAATTTCAAGGCATCTAATGCAACTTTAGCTTTGGATGGCAGAAATCGAACTCAGGTAAGATCTTTAAGATGCAACTGATAATCGGGAAAAAAACTCATCAGCTATGTGGAAGCAGTAAGGATAGAGTAAAACTGAGCAAAACGTAAAATAACTGCTTTCGTAATGGTATCCTCACAAAACTTCTAACTTTTCTGTTGCTAGTGGAATGGAGGCTGCTTCTACTAGCTTCGTTTGTTTGTGAACATTCAAATGACATTTTTGTAGCACACAACATTGCGCTTTTCTCAAATTCAAGATGAATGAGTACAAAATATAGTTATTTAGAAATGATACCTCTTGCAAGTTAATTTTACAATTATCTGTTATTTTCTACTTCACTTTGATTCCTTTCACTTAAGTGTTCATAAAACAAACTATGCTTTTGGAGGAAAAAATGCTATTTCATTTTCAAAGATAATGTTAAAATACACATAACCTTATTCTTGAGACGTTCCTGAGTTTTAATGGTTTGAATTTGGAATTTGTGCTGAATGTTCCTGACGACTAGCATGTATTCATGTCAATAACTGCATCCATGCAACCATCTGCTGGGCGTAGGGATCTGTGTACAGAGAAGTTTCCCTTTGTAGACCGTAAGACTTTCTGGATCAATACAAATGTACCCATTTGTTATAATGTACCCATTATTATACTGTGCATATGAAGACATGAAGACCACAGTCTGTTGAGGCTACTTCCTACTGAATTCCACAAAGTTTGCAATCAGAGAATATGATATATCCTCTTTGGGCTCATCAATTAAGCGAAAAGAAAGGAAAGACTAACTTAAAGGATAAAAATATTAGTGAAGATGGCACAGAAATGCTGTCCCTGCCCCTCAGCGCCTTCGATTCCAAATATACACAAACACACCCGTTATCAGATGAGATAGGAAGAGCAAGGAAAATTTAACTGTCACAAGACTCGGGCTTCCGCAGACCTACTGTTAATGATCAAATCCACCCTTGCTTTAATCTCACCTCCTTCAAGACCGGTGCCTGTCAGTTCTCGTAGACACCCTCCACCCCCACCCCCGCGCACCTTTTTCTACTAATAAAGTCTATCAATTTAGTGACTTTGTACTGTCTGGGACAGCAAAGAACGTGTGACTACTCTGTGTTACCCCCTAGACTGTCTGATGGATAGTAGAACCAATGCCCTTTAGGTGATGACTATGTAACAGACATTTAAATAAAACAGTAGCCCGAAGTAGCAATGGTTTCCTCAAGGCTTACCATGAGATCACAAAAATGGTGAGTTTGATCTTAAAAGGGTCACACTTTGACCACAAGGGGGTTGGTTCAATGTTTGACTAGAAAAGCGGCCCTCATCTTACTGCATGGCCCTGTAAAAAAATAATCTTTAGAAAGAACTCAGGTATTGGCAAGGGCAATCCTGCTCCTGCGGGAAAACTCAAGCCTCCAGCTGAGGTGCCTGAGAAGCAGTTTCTGCGAATGGGCATGAACACTGAGGGGGCTTGGAAGCTTCTTGGGCAACAGGGTAGGAGAGATGAATGTAGGTCTTTGCGCTTCCTACTACACCATGAAGATAAACTTCTCAAGAATCTGTGTCTCCATCTCCCAGGTCCCTTCCCAGGAGGCTCTTCAGGAGCCCGCCCAGTGCCCCTTCTGGTGGCTTCTGCCTCCCCTCCCCCACTCGCCCCGCCCCCTCGGCCTCGGGGTTCCAAGGGCGGTTGGTCGCAGAGCCACGGCCACTCGGCCAGTAGGAGCTGCCGGGCGCGCGGGGTGGACAGATCCTGCTGTAGAGTTGGGGCTGGAAGCCGAGAAGAAGTTGACGGAGGCGGGTCAGACCCGGCGGGAGGGAAGCAGGAGTCTGTCCCGGTGCCCAGGGGACGGGGTCGGAGCGGGAGGGTCTCGGGGGACGGCGGGTACAGAGGCTCCGGGGCCCTGGGGTCACCTGGGGTCGCGCGCGGCCCTGCGGGGTATGGAGGGGCCGGGAGCCTGAGACATCTCTCGCTCCGCCACCCTCGGCTGTGGCGAAAAGGGGGCAAGGGGCCGGACCCTTGGGAACTGCAACGGCGGACACCCGGTGCTCGGTTTGTAGGCAGTGTAATTAGCTGATTGTACCACGGTGCTGACAATCACTAACTCCACTGCCATCAAAACAAGGCACAGCATCACCCGCTGCCCGCCGGAGGAGAAGCAGGCGGCCGCAGCCCCGCTGACTCGGCAGAAAGCGGAGGCTGGAGCCAGGATGCGTCAGCGAAGGGGCCGGAGCACGAGGTCTAAGTGCAAGTAACCCTCGGAGAGCGGCGGCTTCCTTTAGGGACTACCTGTGTCTAGGAGCCAAAGCAAAACGTTCAGTGATATGCAAAGATAATCGGTGTACACCGGCCGTAACTTTAAAAAAAAAAAAAACCCGCAGGAGCCCCCCAGAACGGTTCCTGTGATTCACTGCCCGTTTTCCACTTCTAAGAAAGCTATCACCAAGGCAGCAACTAGAGTCAACCACAGCCTGACTGATGATGTGCTGGTCTCAACCAACATCTGAGAGCACCAACTAAGACTGCAGGCTTTTTCTACGAGTCTAGTTACTAGGCAGTGTAGTTAGCTGATTGCTAATAGTACCAATCACTAACCACACGGCCAGGTAAAAAGACTGAGATTCCTCCGACTGAGCCCCGTGTGCATCATCAATTTGGTGAGGACAGGGCTATAGGGAAATGCTCATCTATTACGTACTAAGTGGTTTAGGCAAAAGAAAAGCTAGCACTTAGCTGCTAAATATAACGTGTGCAATATGTGTGTGGGGAGGTAAGTATACAATGTGTGCAAGATGTGTTTTAGGGGGTACGTTTCAGTGATTTTTAGATATATTGGAAAATAGAACTCATTCCTTAGCTGATCTGGTCATTATATTGACTTGTGATTATAAATCTCTGGACTTTTCCCGACACTGTATTATTAACACCGAAAAATAAAGTGCCACGAAAAATGTCAGCTATCGACATTATCATGTGTCCATTTCCTTTCCAAAACTGACTTTAAGTTGTCTATCTCGGCTCCTCTCAATCTCTGAAGTAACTAAATGGTCAGTTCCTATATAGACAAAAATCTCCAGGAAAAAACGCTCACCCATGATTGTAAACCTGCTTTTAAGGATACATTAAAAATGTTTTCATAATTTTTCACGGTGGGGGGGGCGGCTCAACTCACTTTATCGGGTATTTTTTTTTAATGATAACGGTTGCACCGTAGGTAACTTTTGGCGTGAATAATTAGTGAACACACTCTAAATCCAGCTTGTTTCCTAAGATTTGCAATAAAAGATGAAGTTTTTTTAAAAGCACAAAAACCGTATCCATGGGTACCTCTCAGCCCATTTCTGGTCTAGGACATTATGCCGCCTTGATGTATCAACGCAGACCTGAGAACTTCGCGGGTTGGGGGTGCTGAGCGTTGGCAATCTTGTCCAAAAGAGCTTTTTAAGTTCACTTTATTCGGCCATTTCGGGGAGGGGACACTGATTTAAGAACTAAGAGACTTAACTGCTCTCCACTGACTCCAGAGCTGTACACATCACAAAGTTGAGGCTTTGACTTCGAGGCTTGACTGGCCCCCCAAGGCTGTGACCTCGACAGAAGCCAGGGCCACAAGCGCTTGAGGAACCCCAGATAACTAAGAAACTCAAGCTTTGCTTGTGACAGTTACCAAAGGGACCGTTCTCCGGTGGGGGCGGGGCGAAGGAACTAAGCGAAGCGTCCTGAGTCACCATGGAAACGGGTCCCAGAAACAGTCCTTGCTCCGAGAAGGAATCCCAGGAAATCTGCTCCCCTGGATTACTGGTGTTCACCGGCTGCTCTGAGCAGGATGCCAACTTGGCGAAGCAGTTTTGGCTCGGGGCATCCATGTATCCCCCCACTGAATCTCAGCTGGTGTTGACCAGGGACAGCAGCCAGCGGCTACCAGTGGCGAAGCTTTCTCAGGTCCAAGTGAGCGGTGAGTAATGGGGCTGCCTCCTCGAAGAAGAAACTGCCCAGCCTAACTGTAAGAAAATCAACCGTCTTGCTAGGTATAAACAAGCAGTAATAATAGCTACATGCAAATGCATACACAAATAGTTCTGAAACTGCTGCGATTCTCCACCGCAAAGATAGGATCATCGTTACTTATAAAAATACGTCCTAAGAGTCCCTTAAATGAGGGCTTCTATTTGGCAAAGAGGATGGGTTAATCTAAGAAAATGGTGTGTGTTGATTAAAAAGGTTAGAAAAGCGTTTACATAAAACTGAATTCAAATTTGAAGCCTGAGAAAACGTTGGAGGCAGAATCAAATTTAGGAACCACGTTCCCTGACTGACAAGCCTTTGACCAAGGATGTATAAAGTGTTCTTATTCAATGTTAATAAGTATAGAAAATTCAAACACTGTTAATGTCTGCTTTTCCAATAACTTACTTTCCATTTGTATTTCTTAGAGAAAAATCCAGCCCAACCCTTTCCCTTTGATTATAACAGTAAGTACCAGGTTTTAACATCCTTCAATGGGTAGACTGCCCAGATTGCTCCTAGGATTTTTAGAAATGTAAACATTTACATTGTAGTCTAATTAAGTTATGTACCCCACACCTTGCCTCAGGGCCCACACCACTCACCCAGGAGATAACTTTCTATAAAGCCTTACTAGAAATGTAGATGTCCTCTCTGAGCTCACAGACGCTTTCTCTTTAGAGACTGGTATTCTTCCACACACGCTTGCTCACCATCTAAAGGGATTGAAGGTTTCCTGATAGCATAGATAATTAATTCAGTCTCCAGCTATTTATGAATCTGCTTATAAATATTCAAGACAGTATATACTTGTGTTCCCTCCTGCTCTATGAACCCATATCCAAATTTATGCTAATACTATAAAAATCATGACAAAGCTATTTCAGATTAAATTTGACTTTATTTACTCCAGAGGAGGCAAATGTCTTTGCTAAAATCCGAAAGATTCAGGAAGCTGAAGAGAAAGCAAAGTATCTCCAAAAGGTGGGTCAATGCTTCATTTCTTCTGCTTTTCGTTATTCTTCTAAGTAATTTTGATAAATATTGTTTGTTTATTGGTGCTAAGGATGTTTTACTTTTAAACACATGCAAATAAAATGTATTTTTTAGCTATCTCTGCCTTGAAAAGCTTTTTTGTTAGAGTTTTGATTAAAAATTTAGAATCCTTGGGGCTGGAGAGATGGTTCAGTTTTTAAGAGCACTTGATCTCTCAAAGAACTCAAGTTTGGTTCCCAGTAACCATAGCAAATGGCTCATTGCTGCCTGTAACTCCAGCTCCAGAGGATCTGATGCCCTTTTCTTATCTCTGTGGGCACACACATGTGCATGCTCATCTTTTAAAAGACAGGCCTACTAATGCAAACTTCTATTCCCAGCCAATAGAGAAGCAGAGGCAAGAGACTCAAAAGTTCAGAGCTGGGGGTTAAGGAAATGGATCAATGATTAAGGTTGCTATGCAAGCATGGGGGCCTGCATTAAAACTATCTCCAGAACTCTTGTAAAAAGCCACATATGGCTGCAAAGCATTGTAACTCCAGTGCTATGGGAGACGGAGACAGGAAAATGGCTGGGGCTTGCTCTCCAGGCTCAATGAAAGACCCTGTTTCAAGGGGAAAAGGCAAAGAGTAGTAAAGCAAGATACCCAATATCCTCTTTAACATGCAAAGAGGAGCATGTATCAGCACAAACATTGCATATATATTCCTCACAACACACACAAAGATATAAATTTAATAAGCATATAGGAAGGATACTTAGTTCACAAATAACAAAAACATTCAAGGCTAAGTGGGAATATAGAGTTAGTTCAAGGTCTGCTTGGGAAACTTGATGAGACTGTTTTATAATTTTAATGAAAGTTAAAAAGAGGGCTGAGAATATCTACCTAGCATGTGACAGGCCCTGAGTTTGATCGCTATTGCTACAAAAAGGAAAAATGCATTCTATTAAACTTCGGCTATTTTCAGTCTCTGCCAAAGCTCACAGGAGCATCAGAAACAGAAATAAACAGACTCACTTTTCAAAAAAAAAAAAAAAAAGAAGCTTCAAACCATACACAATGGTCTAAGAACAAAAATAGTTTTAAAACGGGAAAATTGTTGTCTTAATAGGTCAACACCAAGGGAACCAGACCATAAGTCTGCCATCTGGGCCTGTTCTCACTGAGAACTGATAGTAAACACACTGGTGTCCTGAAGCCTCTTTTTGGCAGCCACGTGATGCAACTGGAGCTTTTAACTCAGCAGCTAATACCATGAATAAAAGCAACACTAAGTTTGACTTGTGGATGAACTCTATTTCAGTATCAAAGTAGAGATAGAATACCTATCTGTTTGGGCATAATCTGTTTAATCATTGAACATATTGGCAAGCTCTAAAGGACATACTGGGAATTCCACATAAATTACAGATCAATTAACTTAACTTTTCTGGTCACAACAATTCACTTTGAAGACTACTGGTGATTATTTCAAACAAATTAAGGGATTAAAATAATTAGCAGTTTATTCTCTTTTTAGAATACTAAGTACCAGACCCTGTCGCAAAGAACAGAAAAGAATACTATGTACTATATATTTATAATAGAATTTTATAGGGTTTTTAAAAATATTATTGTGTTGAGAAAGTGCAGGAGGGCACACAGTCCACTGCACGCATGCCAAGGGCACGGGACAATTCCCAGGAGTCAGTTCTCACTTTCCACCTTGCTGAAGGTCTCTCCTATTTCTGCTACGGGCTGTTCAGGCCAGCTGGCTTCTCTGTTTCCAGATGATTCTGTCTCTGCCTCATGTCTTGCTGTGATTTTCGATATGTGCCACTTCATCTGACTTTACATGGGCTCCAGCATCAGAGGCGTTTTCAGGCTTCTGAGGCTAGTGCCTTTACCCACTGAGATATCTCCTCATCCTTCACAGGGATTATCTTCTCATTTTTAAAAAGATTTATTTATTATGTATATAGTGCTCTGCCTGTATAATGCTCACTGTAGATGGTTGTGAGCCACCATGTGGTTGCTGGGAATGGAACTCAGGACCTCTGGAAGAGCAGACTGTGCTCTTAACCACTGAGCCATCTCTCCAGTCCTACCTTTTCATTTTTAAAGTAACATTTATTTATTATTTGTGTGTGTGTGTGTGTGTGTGTGTGTGTGTGTGTGTGTGATGTATGCGTGTAGGTTAGAGGACAACTTGTGTGAGTGGGTTCTCTCCCTCTACCATGTAGGTCCCAGAGATCAAACATAGCTCATCAGACTTGACAGCAGTGCCTTTATTCACTGAGCCACCTCTCTGTCCACTTTATGGGGATTTTTAAAGCCTGGTTTTCATTAGAGCTGGGAGTATAACTCAGTGATACAGTACTTGCCTAGCCTAGCATATATGAAGCCACATATTTAATTCAATTCATGCATCTCTCTCTCTCTCTCTCTCTCTCTCTCTCTCTCTCTCTCTTTCACACACACACACACACACACACACACACACACACACACACACCTTTGAGTCAGGAATGGTGACTCATTCCTATAATCCCAACTGTTAGAAAACTAAGGCAAAAGGAGCCTCATGAATTTGTGGCCAGCCTAGGCTACACAGTGATTTCCAAGGCAAGTTCAACTGCTTTGGTACTTTTGCAATTTAATTTTCATTGTATTTCATTTTAGGAATGGATTAGAAGTAAAGGTTAAAGGCAAATTTAATAGTCAATTTTATGAGCTTTTGTCAAAATAAAAATGATGTGAATTACAGGGGATTGTAATATTATAAACCACATATAACTAATCTTAGAACAGGCTACCATGTCTTGCGTCCTTCTTTCAATTTATTAACTATTCAGTTCAACACATACCTATTGAGAGTCAGTTTGGTACATGTACTATGCTAGATGTAGTCAATGACTATAATGTATTCTTATGATATATGTATATGAAAGCACAAGGACATATTAAACTGGGCATAGTAGCATATCCTTCTAATCTCACCATTTAGGAGGTTATGAGAAGCAGATGAAGTCTCCAATGAAGTGTTAGATATGGGTGTGGACATGTCAAGGACCGCAATGCCTCAGACCCGTGGGAATGGCAAAGCCTTCCCCTAGTCCTTGTTGGCATGGTGTTCATAAAATGTGACTCACAAATTCCTCTTCCTCGATGTTTTACAGCCTGAGACTTCTCCTACCAAGGTTAACTAAACCTCGCTCCTTGTTCAGGTTTATGTAATAACCCTGCCTCCTCATTCAGCTGTATAAAATAAGCAGCCTGAATTCCTAGCTGTTGCATCTCCACTAGAGTGCATAACCCATCTTATTCCAGCATTTCTGTATGTGTGTCTGTGTGTCCACTTTTTCTTCATTCCCTTGTAACCCCAGTTTTGTTTACAGGAGTCATCTGTGTGGGTCACAGCAGGAAGTGGAGGAAGGAAACTCATGAGTTATGGTCAATAAGCCTGGGCTATATAGAAGATCCTATCTCAAAAAACAAAACTGCAAAACAAACAAACAAACAAAAGTGCCAGGTGGTGGTACACGCTCTTAATTCTTGCACTTGGGGAAACAGAGTCAAACAGATCAATGGAAATTCAAGGCCAGCCTGGTCTACAAAGCAAATTCCAGCTACATAGTGAGACCCTGTTTTATCAACAACAACAACAAATCCCACTGAAGTTCAAAATTAAGAAATTTAGAAATGAAGAAACATTCCCAAAACACTGAGTTTGAAAATTGTTTCTTCAGCCTGCAGTACACTTCTTGTCACTAAAATCCCTTCCGCATCTGCCTTCAAGGCCTGGCTCCCAGGACAGCTTGAGAAAGCTTTCCCAGAGGCTGCCTAGAAACTGAGTGAACAGCACCTTCGCAGTGCTTACATACAATCCGAAGTGGCTTCCCAGAGTGCAGTGGAAAAGCAATCACCCATGCTTCTCTGGCCTGCTAGATTGTAGGCACCGTAATCAGCTGACTAATCAGAGGCCAGGTTGGACCAGAAGCACAGCTCTGCCACTGATGGCTAATGTGACTGAGCCATGCACTTGAACTCTTGAACAGCTTCCCCAAACAGAAGAAATTATATTTTTAAACAACCACCTCATGTATTTGATGTAACCTATATAAAATACCTGGCTATAGTTTATTTATCCTCCATAATTGCCCCTTATCAAAAGTAGAAGTCATGTCTCATTTGCTTAACTCACTATCTTTCAGGATACTGAAATTCAGATATTTGTTCATTAGCCCATGAACATACAATCTATGTAATTGTTCTAATTAATGGCTGCATGGTTGCTTATACAGTAATATTTTTGTTGGCATTTTTCCTATTGTTGTTGGGTCCAGGAGATTAAGCCCGGGGTCCCATGCATGTGACACAGGACCACAGCTATGCTGACAGCTGTGCAGTGGATCAAGTTCAATCCTTTCCACATAGACTCATCTGAGAATTTTGCTAGACTGATCATCTTTTGCAAGAATACTTCAAAATTCATACGCACATCTCCTGTCTTGTCAATTTTGCTTTTGTCTCACGGGCCTGGCTATGAGAGGAAAGAATGTAACTCCATTAAATACTAAAACAAATCTAGTTTTGGATACTACCGTTTCTCTGAATCTTAAAATGAATACCCTCCCTGCACTGTTGATATCACCATCACTAATATGTAGCTTGATGTAGAAAATGAATAGAAGACAACATGTTTTTTTTTCTATGTTACATATTTAATTTTTTCCATATTGTGAACATACACATCAATAAGTATATCCCAGGTGTGCTTCATATTAAAGAGGGGGAAAACATTCCCTATAAATTCTCTTGAAGCTATAGTCAACCATTTTCTTAAATGGAAACCTGGAAATTTCTTTTCCATTTCTCCTAAAGTAGTTTTGCCGCCTTCTTTCCCAACGGATATTGATTTTTCAGTGGCCCAGGTTTTAAACTCTAATGCTACTCTCCATTTTGGAATATTTTCCAGGGATACATTATAAATGCTTTTTGTTAG